AAACCAGGGTATATAGGAGAGCTTTGTTAAAATTTATGTCTGTACCATAGGGAAACCCCATAGTGACAGGAGTCCTGAGTGATTAGTCTAAATTATAGCTATAAAGTAATGACTAAAATGATGACATTATTATGATTCAATATGGGCAATGCTGCTAAAAATGCACTTAATGTAATTATTTTATGTTTATGTTTTCTTGTCTAACTGCATGTTAATCTGTGTCTATGATGACTGTTAATTTAATGGAATTGTTTTATGTTTTCTTTTGTCTGTAGGATATTTTTATGATAATTGACTTGATAAAGGCTAAAAATCCAAAGGCTGCTGCAACGGTTCCATTAAAAACTCATCTACATGAGGATCTCTGGACTCAGACGAGAAAAGACATTTGCTCCCTCCTCCCCACTCTGGGTGACCTGAGGTGGCTACAGTCTTAGGTCTTACCAGAGGCAACAGGTGGTGCTGACATCACGACATGTAGCAGTCTTGCAGGGAACAACCTCAGAAGGAAGAACATACCTAATTCCTGGGTTAGATGGAATTCTAAGAGCTCATTCAGAAGATACCTATGATGGGTGGGTGGCACACATCTTGAGCGAACCTAAACCCTGTGTGCATTTGGGGCTCTCTGAGACACATAAAAGTGATTACCCAGCCCATTGTTAACACTCTGGAAAGGAATGTCCACAAGCAGCTCATTTTTTCCACTTCACTTCCCTAGCATAATCTCTTGCTCCAGCCAATGGATAAGCCCCTAATAAATGTTGGTGTCTTTACGGGAAAACTGGTTATTCAAATTTGTTTGCTGGTTATTCCTGTCAGTCCCATTTGAAATGCAAGGGTTAAAATTTGGAACTACAGGAAAAAATAGGTTTTTTAAACCTTTTATAGTTTCTACTATAAAAACTACTGGACCCATCCTTATATAAAACCTTAACATTTGGTAACTTAAAGGTTATATATACAGCTCTGGTTAATATAATCGCCTTATGTACACATTTGTGTGTTACTCTAGGTACAAATTATGTGTCTATATGATAAAATCCTTCAAAATGGTATAAGCCAAGAAGAACGTGCCATCATCTCATGACTGCTTATGAACAGATTCAGCAAGCCATTCCCTCCTTCCAGTTCATGCTTTTCTCTTTACAAAACAATACCATCGCTTGGCCGGGCATGGAGGTGCACGCCTGTAGTCCCAGCACTTGGGAGGCTGAGGCAGGAGGATCACTGTGAGTTCGAGACCAGCCTGGGCTACAGGTCAGTCTCAACAACATAGCGAGACCCTGTCTCAAAAAATAATAAAAAAATAAAAAAAATACCATCCCTCCTTCTGTAGACCTCCTTTGTGTTTTACCCATTGCTTTAAAGCAGATCTACAAACTTCTTTAAAACTTTGTTTCTGTCTTGATATGTTCTTTTGCAACCCACATTACCAGTCTCCGCAGTGCTATTTTGCGTGGCACTGAGATTAATCTAAAACTTAGTCTACCAAATAAGTCTAAAGTACAACTTTCAGGCATTTTAGTTGTCTACTATGAAAATCTTTGTAAAATAATGTATATCTATAAAGGAAATTTCCATTTGTAATGGTGTTCTTCTCTCTGCAGACTCTTACCATAGGGAAGGACATAAACAAATCTGTGTAACAAGCCTCAAGTTTAATCACTTAGTCTTTTTTTTTAATTGAGTTTATTGGTACACAGTACAGTTACATTCATTACTGGGATCTTGTACCTCTACACGACAGGTCTTGGTTCTCATTTTTTCCCCTTGTCCCTGCCCTCCCTTCACCCCCTCCTCCCCTCCCCGTTTACAAACACTTCATTTCCGTTTTTTCATTTTCTCATACTTTTTTCTTTTCCTTTATTACCTTTCCCCTACCCTTCCCACTTTCCCTACACCTTTAGCCCTTTTCTTCCTATTTCACATTGCCAATTATATCATTAGGATCTTATGTACTATTACAGTTTTTTACACCAGAGAAACTAGTCGGTAATTACACGTGTGACTTATTTATTTCACTTATGAGTATATCCTTGATAGTAATCACTTAGTCTTAATTGGGCCTTTACCTACATCCTTCTTTGTCTCAGTAGATAACTGTACTTGGATATAAATTTTATGTTTTTGAGATGAAAATTTTCTACCTGGTTCACCTAAGAATCATATCTTTGGGAATGCAAATGGATCATGAGTTTAAGGCCACCCTAAACTAGTACATTCAAGACCCTCTCGCAAAAACAAACAAATGAAAGTTTAGGGTTAATGGGGTGTAGAGCAATGGAGGAGGTAATCAGAAGATTGAGAGCCTAAAGGGGGAGAAAAAATACTTGGAAGCTAGCAAGTGAAGAATATAAAGAAATGCTTTAAGATCTTTGTTTTCTGTCTGCATTTTTGTATGTATGTGTGTGTACATGGATGTGTACATGTGAATACATGTGAACACTTGCGTATTCTGTACTACATCCATACCTGTGCTCTACATACATGCTGTAGCAGTTAGGGTGGAGTATCAACTTAATTGGCTTTGGGATCTCTTCCAGGGACTGGTAGAGCACAGTTCTAGTTGTGTCTCGTTGAATCATAAAGGTACGAGCTTGGGGCCTATGTCTGATCCCTCACCCCTTCCACTTTGTACTCTTCCTCTCCTCTGTTCTGGGCCGCTACGAACTAAGCAACTTTGCTCCACCGTACCCTTCGATGTTTCTGATTTAGAGCCAGCTGAGCAGGACTGAAACTGTGAGCAAATTAAACCTCTCCTTCTTTAAATTGAGAGTGTTGGGTATTGTGTCTCAGCCACAAGAAAGCTGGCTGATACATATGTTTACACATGTGCTTGTCTATTGTCTAGATGCCGCCAAGTTGACTTAAAAAACATAACATGAACCCAACTCCTTTTGGGAAATCTTAAGTAAATAAAACTATTTTAATATTGTTGGACAATGAAAAAGCAGCTATGTCTTCTGAGCAAAATAAATACCCATGTTTAGAGTTCTTGCTCGGGCGATTCCTTCCTAACATCCACACACTATGGAAATCCAGGGAAATCCTGGAGATTATGGCTAGCACACTTTGTTCGATGCCTCATAAAATTTCTATGAGCAATCCAAGCAGAGTTGTTAAAAATAATGAATTAGACAAGTATAAAGGAGATAAGACTCTATAAGTGAACATTTCATTGTTTCAAATACCCTTTTTTCAGATTTTTCTGTTTCTATTTTACTATATCACATACTTATTTTTATTATATTTTATAAGCATAATGATAGAATTTAACACCAATAGATATGTAATATTCTTCCCAAATGAACGACTATGAAGTCGAGCATGTAACTTAAAGAAATCATAAGGTTGCCAGAGAAACTATCAATATGCCAAATGTGCACAATCCTACCACATTCATGATTCTACAATAATATATACTTAGGTATAATAAAATAGTGCAGTGATGTGTGGAATGTTGGTGATTTGTATAATTTGACAAAAAAAAAATATCATCTTTGAAGGAGTTGGAGAATTTGTAATATGTATCAGATACTAAATGATATTAATGATTAAGTATAGTTATAATAAAATTTACTTAAAAATATTCATCAGTAGAAAATAAGTACAAAGATATATCGATAACATAATAACATTTATCTTAACAAATTTCCAACTAAACAAGCTGTAGTGACAGAAAAGAAAGTTTATAGAAAGCAGAGATGAAAGAGGAAAATGACAGATGGACTCTAATACTTTTCATACGACTCATATATACAGATTTCATAAATTCTCAAATACAAAAGCAAAGAAAATGAGAACCAAAATAACTCATCAATTTGGTAGACCAATATATAAAGACAAAGATTAATGTGTTGATAAATTTTTAAAATATGAAATGTAAAGCCTGAGATTTAGCTCAATAGTACTGCACCTGCCTAGCCAGAACAATGTGCCGAGTTTAATCCCCAGCATCAGAGGAAGTAAAAGAAAAAGGAAAAAAAGAAGAAAAGAGAAAAAAAAAGCATATTTACTTTCTGACATACTCAATAAATTAAAAATAAATTATTTGTTATCTCTTCCTCTTGAATTGTTCCCTTCACAAGGGTTTGTATTGAAAAGTCTGCTGTAATTCTGATAGGCTTTCCTTTGCATGTAATTTGTTTCTTATCTCTTATGGCTTGTAGTATTTTGTTCTTCTGTTGGGTTTCTGGGATTTTGATTATTACATGTCTAGGTGTAGATTTTTTTTGATCACAGCTAGTTGGAGTCCTATATGCCTCACTTTTCTGTACATCAAATTCTTCCCCTCTGTTTGGGAAGTTTTCTATAATTAATTCTGTGAACAGCTTTTTTAAGTCATTTACGTTTTCTCCTATTACTTCTTGAATTCCTATCAATCTTATGTTATTCTTCTTAGTATCGATTAAGAGTTGTTGTATCAATTTCTCATGATCCCCTACTGTTTTTAAGAGACCTCTCTTTTCATGGTCACTGACTGCAATTTTATCTTCTATACCTGAGATTCTATCTTCAGACTCTTTTATTCTTTTGTGAACACTCTCAATGGAGTTTTTAATCTCCTAGATATCTGTTTGAATATGTTCTATGGATTCCATTTCTTTATTATTTCCAATTCTTTCTTATGCTGGGCATTCATGGCTTCTATCATGGTCCTGAGCTCATCTATTTTCCTCTCAGTTTCTGTTCTACAGTCATGAATTATAACTTTCATTTTGCTTGTCATCTCTATGATTATCTGGGAAATTACTTTGGTTTTATATTTCTCTAGAGTCAGTTTTGTTACTTCCTGTGCTTTGAGTTCAGGGTGTCCTGATGATTCACTGTCAGATTTTTCATCCTCATTTGCCCCACTATTTGCTATTGGTGAACTGGAAGTCTGTCCCTGTATCTTGCTTAAGTATTTTCTCATTTTTACTATTGTTGTTGGGTTATCCTTAGTTTAACCTTTAGATTATTACTTAAATCTTCCTGGCACTAAGACTAGGGTTGGGCCAGAAGTGGGAGCCATTACTGCAGGTCCCTCAGAGCTCGGCAGTCAAGATGTGTGACTTTACTGAGGATCAGACAGCAGAGTTCAAGGAGGCCTTCCAGCTGTTTGAAAGAACAGGTGATGGCAAGATCCTGTACAGCCAGTGTGGGGATGTGATGAGGGCCCTGGGCCAGAACCCAACCAATGCCGAGGGGCTCAAGGTCCTGGGGAACCCCAAGAGTGATGAGATGAATGTGAAGGCACTGGACTTTGAGCACTTTCTGCCCATGCTGCAGACTGTGGCTAAGAACAAAGACCAGGGAACCTATGAGGATTATGTTGAAGACCTTCGGGTGTTTGACAGGGAAGGGAATGGCACTGTCATGGGTGCTGAAATCCGTCCTGTCCTAGTCACACTGGGGGAGAAGATGACCGAGAAGGAAGTGGAAATGCTAGTGGCAGGGCATGAGGACAGCAATGGTTGTATCAACTATGAAGAGCTTGTCCAGATGGTGCTGAATTACTGAAGACATTCCCAGTATCCCGAGCCCATGCCTTGCCCTTTGTGAGATTTGTACATGGCCCCAGAGGCTTCCTAAGGTCCCTGGTCACAGACCCTTTCCTATCTGGTTTCTTGGATGACGTTTGCCATTAGCATTCACCAAATAAACTTGCACTTTGCCCCTTAAAAAAAAAATCTTCCTGATATAGTTGGGCTGCAGCCCATGGGTCTCATTATAATGACTCATAGACATTCTCATTTTCATCATACTGAAGAAAACAGCTCATTGAATCAATCACAATCCTTTATCCTAATTGATACAATCAGCACCACCATATAATGAAGCACAATTTGCACATTCACCACTTATGGTAGTCATCAATCTATCACCTTCAAACCATGTAAATTTAATTAAGATCAAGAAGCAATCCAAAATATGCTTACAGTAAATAAACTTTTCAACAAGGATATTTACCATTTACAATGGGGGCTTAAAACAAAGTTAAGACAAGAGGAGTAGATAAGTATAAGAATTAGAGAAGGTTTCATATGAAGCCAAAAGACGTAGAATGACCAGACAATCGTCAGGAAATTGTTAAATTCAAAAAGAACAAACAAAATAGAAATATAGTAACCCCTGAGTGAGGTAGAATAACATAAGAAAAGAACATAAAGAAAAGAGAAAAAAATAATAAAAGAAGAAATCTGAATTAGGACAAGAGCAGAAACAGAAAGAGAGATGAGGGACACTATACTGGAGTAAGAGACTGAGTTAGAGAAAGAAAACAAAAAGAAAAAAATTTGCAGAGTAGGATGAAAAAAAGAAAGAAACAAAAATGAGTTTAAAGGGCCTCTTTCAGACTATATCACTGCTGTCATAATATTCAGTATGCGCTGCCATGTGCAGAGCCGAGTCCCCTGACCTCAGCTAGCTGGTGGCAGAACCCCACAAAGCAGACTGAGCTCGGGCTGCAAGGCCCAGACTGAGTTCCCCGAACTCCTGAAGGGCTGAACTCCACTCAGCTCTACTGTAAGTTCCCCCACCACTTCTTTAAAGATGTTCAAAGTTGAAAGTGCCAGAAAATACTCTTTATGACCACCTGTGCCTCTAATCCTCTACAGAGTAGGTCCAAAGACTGGCACAATCAGGAGGTCTAAAAGCGCGAGGGGGGAGGTTTGGGGGGTTTGGGGGTGCCCGCGCGGCTACCTTTCTAGCGCTGAAGATGGCAGCAGCGGCGCCAGCAGGGGAGGGCACTGCGGAGAAGACCCTCTGGTGCTGAAGATGGTGGGAACTCTGCTGGGGAGGGCATGGCCAAGAAGACCCTCTGGCGCTGAAGGTGGCGGACGCTCAAATACCTTTTTGATGATAGCTTGATTTTTTTTTTCAGTACTAGGGATTGAATCCAAGGCCTCATGCATTCAAGGCAGACACTGTACCAGTGAGCTACTTCCTCAGTATAGTAAATTGAAATCTTAAATTCATGTTATGTTGAATGAAGTAGTAGATATTCATTAGTTCTGAGTAATTTCTAAATAGCTACAATACTAAACTCGATTATTACACAAATGTTCCAAGTTTATATACTCTGATACTTTCTTTTTTTTTTTTTTCAGTACTAGGGATTGAACCCAGGACCTTCGCACTGAGCTATATTCTCAGACATCTTTAAAAAGAATTTCATTGGCATATGTTTGCAATACATAGTGATCACATTCAACTTGAGGACTGATACACGCATACGTGGCATCTTGATCCTTTTTACTTCCCCATCCCCGCCACTCTCCTGTCTCCCTCCTTCCGTGGATCCCCTTACCATCTCTACAGAGTCTGTCTCCCTATTTCTAAATATGTCTCTTTTCTTGTGCTCGTTATTTATATTTTGGGCCTCCTGTACTAGACAAACTATGCAATATTTAATATTCTGTGTCTGACCTATTTCACCGAGTTTTATGGTTTCAAGATCCATCCACTATTCTACAAATAACTCAAATTTATTCTTCTTCATAGTTGAGTAGTACTTTATTATATATACATACCACATGTAGTTAATCCATTTATATTCATTTGTTGATGGGTATATAGCCCACTTCCATGATTTAGGTCTTGTGAGTTGTGCTGCCATAAACATGAGTATACAAATATCACTGTAATAGGACAACTTTAGCTGTTTTGAGAAGCTACCCAGAATAGGTGCAGCTGGGTCAAATGGAATTTTTATTTTTGGTTTTTTGAGAAATCTTCATTTCCATAGTGGTTGTACTGACTTACTGATTTATAATGTAGAAGGGCTCCCTTTTCCCCACAACTTTGTCAGCATTTGTTGTTTTATGAGTTCTTAGCAATAGCCATTCTTACCGGAGTAAGGTGAAATCTCGGGGAGGTGTTTTGATATTCATTTCTCTAATGGCCAAAAATATATTTATTGTCCTTCCTCTTCTGAAAAGGGGAAATTTTAATTGCCTGTTTTTATTAAGTCTTTTATTTTAAGGGGGTATAATTTTTTAGTTCTTCTTATATTCTAGATATTACTTCTCTGAAGAGTAACTAGCAAAAAATTCCCCCTATATGTTGTCTTTTCATTCTGTCAGCTGTTTCCTTTGCTGTGTAAAAACATTTTTAATTTTACGTAATTCCAGAATAAAGTGGCAAAGCAAAGGCTGGCAGCAAAATACAGTCTCTCCAGGACCTGGAATTGAGACACCTGGAAAACAACTCAGTGTACAAAAAAAGAAGAAGAGTTCTAAGAACCAAGCAAGAGCCAACAGGAAAGCTAGAAACTAAAGAGAAACTGAAGGTTATGCAAAGAAGAGAATGCTATAGTTAGGGATGCTAACCCCAGCTCTCAGGGAGAAGCTCCTGTGGCCTTAAACATGGGATGGCCTTAGAGAGGGTTGGCAGGCTCTGGGAGAAACAGCAGACCAGCAGCACTAGCCCCAAGAAAAGCCCATGGTTATTGTAAACTGTAAATAAAACATGGTGTTTTACTCTGAAGTGTAAAACTTTCACATGACAGGTTAGTGCTAGAGAAGGAATTCACAGCAGCAGCCACCGAATTTGGGAGTGATATAACCAGAAGACATATTAGGAAAAGGTTTACTATTTAACACTGGAACTACTCTGAGCATCACAAGTCACAAAACAACTACACTTCAGGATCTCTGGGGTCACCCTACCACAGTGACTGGATAGGATGTAGCCACAAGAGCCAACTTGGTCATGATGTATAATCTTTTAAATGGTTTGTTGTATTCTGTTTGCAAGTATCTTGTTGAGGACTTTTGCTTCTATGTTCAATGACAAAATTATCATGTAGTTTCTTTTTAGTTAAGTCTTAGTCTGGTTTTGGTAGCAGAAAAATGCTAGCCTCAAGGAATGAGTTTCACAGTGTTCCTTCCCTTTCAATTTCATGGAAGAGTTTGAAAAGTATTGGTATTAATTCTTCCTCAATATTCTGGTAAAATCTGGCAATTAATTCATTAGAGTCTAAACTTTTTTTGCTTGGTAGGATTTTTATTCCTGCCTCAATTTCATGGCCTGGTATTAGCATATTTAGGAGTTTTATATCTTCTTAGTCCAGTTTTGGCAATGTATATGTCTCGGAATTTAACCATTTCCTCTATATTCTCCAATATATTAGAATATAAGTTTTCAAAGTCACTTCTTACAATCCTCTGGATTTGGTGGTGTCCATTGTGATTTAAACTTTTTTGTTTTGAAATTCATGTCTTTCATTTCTAATTGCATCAGTACCCTCTTTTCTTCTTATGGTAAGTTTGGCTAAGGGCTTGTCAATTTTGTTTATTATTTCAAAAAAACACCTCTTTGATTATTTGATTCTTTGTACTTTTTAATCTCAATTTCATTGATTTCTACTCTGATCTTTATAATTTCCTCCTCTGTATTAGTTTAGGTTGGGATCACATTTGTTTTTCCAAGACCTTGAAGTACATCACCAGGTTATTTATTTGAGATAACTCTTTTTTTTTTTTTTTTTTTTTTTTTTTTCCAAGAAAGGATCAAACTTGGGACCTTGTGCTTGCAAAGCAGATGAAGGAACCACTGAGCTAAATCCACAGTCCTTGATATATCTCTTTTAACGTGTGCATTTACAACTATAAATTCCCCTCTTAGAAATGCTTTCATTGTGTTCTCTTGGTTTTGGTGCTGCCTTTGTCAATTGATTCTAGTCACTTTTTAATTTCTCCTGTGAACCATTTATTACTCAATAATCATTTAATGTCAATGTGTCTGCATAGTTTCATTGATGTTTTATACCATTGATTTCTAGTTTCACTGTGCTATGATCTGATGGTATGTATGAGATTATTTACATTCATTTGTATTTATTTAAGCATGCTTTATGGCCTAAGATATGTTCTATTTTGGAGAAAGTTCCATGTCATGTTGAGAAAGATCTGTTTTCTATTGATGTTGGATGAAACACTCTAAATTTCTGTTAAGTCCATTTGTTTGATGGTGTGGTTTAACTCTGACAATTCTTTGTGGATTTTTTTGGGGGGGATCTGGTTGAACCTATTTGTGAGAGTACTGAAGAGCCCACTACGATTGTGTTGATGTTTATCAGACCTTTTATGCCCAGGAGTATTTGTTGTATGAAATTGGATGCTCTGATGCACATATATTTACAATTGTTATCACTTCTTATTGAACTGTCCCCTTTACTACTACACAGTGACCTTCTTGATCTCTTGAATTCCATTTGGCCTGAAGATAGGTTAGCTAGTCCTGCTTCATTTGGGCTCTTATTGCATAGAGTATAGTTTTTTATCTTTTCACTTTCAACCTTTGTGTTTCTTTATGGGTGAGGTATGTCTCTTATGGCAACATAGTTAGTTATGTTTTGTTTTGTTTTTATCCAATCTGCCAATCTGTGTACTTTGATTAGGGAAATAAGACCATTTACATTAAGAGTTGTCTCTGAAAGGTGTTTATTGACTCTTAACATTGCAATATTTTTCTGTTGCTGATTCCTTTATTTTGCTCTTTCTTTAACTACTCAGCCTGTATTCTTTCTTCTC